GCTGCTTCCATTCTTTCAAATAAACCAAATGTTTCATCCGCATGGCCATGCATTCCTAACCCCAAAAGAATTGAATTCCATGATACTTCATTTCTTTCAGGCATTTTCTCAAATATAGCCCATGAGCTACTTATGTCTCCACATTTTGCATAAGTAGTTATTAGAGAATTGCTCACAAGAATATTGGACTCAAAGTCTTTTCGTAAAAGGTAACCATGAACCTCCTTGCACAACATCATGACTGACAACTGAGCACAAACTGACAGAATACTTGCAATTGTCACAGCATTGGGTCTAAATTTTTCAAATTGCATGTCAAGGAACGCCTTTAAAGCTTCATCTAGATACTCATTCTGAGTATATCCAGATATCAAGGCATTCCATGATACCAAATCTCTAGCTGGTAGTCTATAAAAGACTTTATGAGCTGACTCGATGTCTTTGCATTTAGCATACATATCAACCAAGGCACCACCAACAAAAACATCTGAATCAAACCCCAATTTTACTACTAGTCCATGGATTTCCACGCCTCTAGTCTTAGCAGTCAAGGAAGAACAGGCTCGTAGAACAGCCAAGATTATGACAGAATCGACAAATCCATATTCTAATATATAGTTATGGAACAGGTTCAACGCCTCATCAGGACGACTACTTTGAGCAAAATTTGAGATGATAGCTCCCCACATGACCACGTTACGATTTAGAGATCTTTGGAAGATTTCAAGACCAGCCTTACGATCACCGCATTTAAAATACATGTCCATGAGAGCAGTTTCAACTCTAGCATCATTGTTCAATTGAATGCCAAAACAGAATTTATGCATTTGCCTTCCGAATGCTAAATCCAACATCTGAGAGCACAAAACTATAACGGCAACCATTGTGGAAGTATCTGGTGACAACCCAATTGACAACATCGCTAGGAAAACCTCCACTGCGTGTGACAAACACCCATTAGAGACATAACCCGAGATCATCACATTCCATATGACTGGATTCCCTCTGATCGACTCTTCATTAATAATGCTCCTAAAAACATATTCCGCATTCTTCACATCCCCACATTTCATGTACATATCGATTAACCCACTAACCAAGAACTGATCAGTATCTATCTCCCTTTTCACAACAAACCCATGAAGTTCTCTTCCATGAACTAAAGACTGAACTGAAGAGCAGGACGTGAGAGCTGAAAGGCAAGCTACCCGATTCGGTAACACCCAGTGATCATGGATCATTCGACTAAACATTCTCAACGAACCCATGTAATCTCCCGAATGACAGAGGCCAGATATCATTGTATTCCATGAAACCAAATCCCTCTTACACATTTTCTCAAACATCTGAACTGCATCCTCAATTGCTCCGCATTTCCAATAAACACCCAAAAGAGAATTGACATCATAAACATCATCTAAAACTCCTAATTTCAACACATGCCCATGAATCTCCCTAGCCTTGCCTACATCAGAAAGCCCCCCAAAGGCCTTAATCAAACACGGAAAGAATCGAAATTCCTCAACAGGCAAACCAAATTCAAGCATTTTAACATAAATCGTTATTGCATCTTCGCAATTCCCATCCTCCACATACTCCTTAATCAGCTGACCAGCCGACAAAACTTCGTCTTGGGAAGAATCCCTCGCAAGCCCGCATCCCAAAATTGATTTCCGAGATGGGTTTTGCAGGAATTGTACTTTAGAACAAAAAGTATGAAACTTGGAGCTAAAAGATACCAGGCAAGGCTTACTTGCACCCCTGAGCTTGTACTGTAATGCCTCGGATGGTCTTAACGGGTTGTGCTGGTGCAGGCCATGACCGTAAGTATGAACCGAGTAGAAGTCTAGTGGTCTAGCAACTGCCATTCTCTCTGGTCCCAAGGTCTCAGAAACCTCACCGGACCTGAAGAAACACTTCCACGAGAACGAGGACTCAAACTGAAAATGTTATCCTGGGCGAAACGATGTCGTGCAAAGGCGGGGAATTTGATGTGAAGTGTACGTAAATACGGCGTCGTTGTTATTTAGGGCTTATAATTGGTTATTGAATGACTTAAATACCCTTCGCGGGACAATCTTGCCGCTACGTTGTCTTCTTCCTTCTACTCAAAGCTCGCACGATTCCGTAATTGAATGGCAGAAAAAGCGACCGGTTCGCCGGCGAGCTTCGTCGACCAATCAGTAGTAAGAATTTCTCTTCCTATTTTCCCTCCGGTAATTGTTTCTTTTTCGTTTATGTGATTTTCAATTTCTTGTTGTTTAGGTTCCAGGCGATGTGGTTCTTGACCTCACCAGCATGGCTAACCAGACCATCAAGCTCGGCGGGGGTCTTCGCCAGGTCTCTCTCTCTCTCTCTCTCTCTCTCTCTCTCTCTCTCTCTCTGTGGTGACTGTAAGGACACATATGGCTGTCAATATCTCCATTATATACTTTTTTAAATTAAAAATTAAAAATTTCAGGATTGTGATGCAATAACTGCGATGAAGGCTGGGACTTTGAAGTTTTCAAAGCCAAACAAATATTGGGTCGAAACCTCTCAGAAAAGGGTATGCGTGTTTCCCTCCACATTCACTATTTTAAAAACAAAAATCTTTCATTTGTTTTTCATGTACGTTGAAATTTCAATTTTGGTGGTTTGTGCAGTATGTGCCTTGTGCGGGGGACTCTGTTCTTGGAATTGTGGCGGACTCTAAAGCAGATGTAAGAGCTTGAATGTGTCCTTATTGCATTAGGTGATTATTGGTTCATTGGTGCCAGCTTCTTGCTCATGAATTTGTTTTGTTTTTCCTTGTTTGGGTTTAGAATTTTCTGGTGGACATCAAAGGACCTACAATTGCATTTTTGCCTGTGCTTGCTTTCGAAGGAGGAACCAGGAGAAACGTACCAAAGTTTGAGGTTTGTGTACGTTTAAATTGCGCCTATATATTTATTGCCATGGTGCTCATGTCTTGAAAATGTATACTGGAAACATGAGTATATGAAGAAAAAACTAAAGCATCGTTATCATTGCTTTCTTGTCCTAAACATCAATGAAACAACTGTCATTATCTCTCTGCAATGCGCCTATGCAGCCTTATCTACTAGACCAGTTTTACTCCCAAGAAAAAAAGTTATTTATATATATGAGGGAGATTTAGGGAGCTTTTATGAGCTTTAAGTTTGTCTTGATCTTATTATTGGTGACTGGTTCTAACTTCCTGCAACTTAAATGATCTTCAAAGTCATGTCAAAGAAAATGTGTGAAAATGGTTCTATAAATTATTTGAAAGACATAGCCTTTACGACAAATTTTCCGAAAATAGATTTTTTGTTTTGGGGGGAGAGGGTGGGGAAGGAACACGTCTGTATTGAGACGTATTAATTTCATTGTTGTAATTTTGGTCCTTTGCATGATAGCTATTTATTATCTTTTAACTTCAAATTTAGTTTTTTTTGTGTGCAATCCTTTACCATGGCTAATCAGTTACTTGACAGGTGGGTACATTGCTTTATGTCCGGGTAGTGAAGGCAAACCCTGGCATGAATCCTGAGTTATCATGCATTGATGGTTGGTTTTCTATCTTTTCTTTTTCATTTTGGGACATGCTTTATATGTCAATACGTGTGCCTGGTGTTTTAGCTCTTGTAAATGTTGCTTCATTGGATTTCTGTGATTATTTCTTGACTATGATTGAAATTTTTGTGTAATCTCTAGCCAGTGGAAAAGCAGCAGAGTATGGTCCCCTTAAGGGTGGCTACATGTTTGAATGTTCAACTGGCCTTCCAAGAATGTGAGATATAGTTCCCCTTGCTATGATATGTAAGAAGTGCTTAGGCAATAGATACTGCTGTTGTCTAAGCACATGGTCAATGCATAAAACAGAGGGTTTTCTTTCTTCAATTTTAAAATTAACCAGTCATCCGGTTTTCAGGCTGCTGAGCTCACCAAGATGTCCAGTTCTGGAGGCGCTTGGGAAGAATATTTCCTTTGAAACAGCAATTGGTTTAAACGGCCGTGTTTGGGTATACTTCTTAACAGCCTTTTTCAATTTTATTTTTGTAAAAATTATTATTTCTTAATTGGGTGTAAACAGTTCCTTGTATCTTCGTTGTAGCTAATTTCTTTTCTTTCACCATCAATGGAAAAACCTATTCAAACTAAGATCATTGCTTGCTCAGCCTGATTTCCCTTTATTGGGTCTTGGCTGAACGTAATTCTCAGTGGGGACATTTTCATTGTCGTAGACTTGTTTTCTAGAACTCCTTTTCTATTTGAAACATAATTCCTTCTAATACCAATTGTTTTAAATTCTTCTTAACTTCCAGGTCAATGCTGGTTCACCATCTACGGTGATCGTTGTTGCTAATGCAATTATGAATGCAGAATCTCTGAGTGGCGTGCAGCAGAGAATTATGGTGGATAAACTTATTCAGAATTTGAAGTTATCAAGTTAGTCCATCACGTTATGATTCAAACTCCTATCTTAATTGTCTGCATGTTTCTATATCATTTTGTTTTGACTCTGTTATGATATGAAACTAACTTTCTTTTATGCTTTTTGTGTAGCATGACAATTCAAGAAGGGCAAGCATTGTAGCTGTCAAACTCGGCCTGTTACACAGAAGACGTTTTTTCATGAAGGTTAAAGAAGACACCGGAATCCAGTGATCACAATCTCATATGCTAAAATGATATTTAGGATGAGCCTTCTAAACCAGTAGAGATGTCTAGGAACTATGTCTTAACTCCAAATTTTGTTAATTAGCTTTATAGCTTAGAAGTATACTGTTTATTTAAGCGGCGGATTTCATCATGTAAATTGAGAATGTGCCTATGTATTTTGAATTCACAAATGCAATTCGACTTGTGCCACATTATTCAAATGTTACAGCGTACAAAGCTACAATGAAACTCTTGTTTCTTTACCCCAGGTTCAATGTGACAACACACTGCTGACTAGCGATGTACAGCATCATGTGCCTGAATTTGGGTCAGAGAACTATACTATAGATGTTGAAACCCGTACTTGGGTTCCACTATAATTTGCTGTTTTGACGACAAAGCCACTGTTTTTGTGTCAGTTTGGCAGCTGATTAACAAGCTCGAAAGCAAGTTATATACTCCCACCATAGCTTGATAACGGGTCTATTAGTGGTTGTATACAATCATGTACATATCTTTATCAGCGGTTGTATACAATTATGTACATATCTCTCTCATCACATTACTGGCTGTGGACCAATACAATCACGTAATGATAGAGACATAAACATAGTTGTATACATCCGATTCTACCAAAGATTTACCACATTCTGAATCATGTTGCTTATTACTTTGTGCTCAGCTAGTCCACTATCAAGATTCTCAGGGCTTTTGCTGCACTGGTAAAAATTTGGAGATGAGAGGAAAATGATCACGGACTGGTTCAGCAATGGATCAATCCAGTCCACAAACGTGGCAAACAGAGAGAAGCTCCACCATTTTCTGAATGATGCATTAAATGCAACTGCTTCACTCACATGTATGTAAAAAGGTCACAGTGATTATGGACCTTTGGTAAATTGCTAGTCTCATATTGATTGCTGTTTTTGTTGTATTTAGGTTCCGAAGGTTCTCACTGTGCCTGTAGCCCACAAAGACAGTGATTCATAATTAAGCTTCCAAAAGTACAAACCCCAGTTTGTGAAGTCTCACTCTCACTCAGACCAAAACTGGATCTTGCAATGCCTTCCTGATTTTCTGTATCTGATCACTCTGTCATTTTCTTATTTTTTAAATTTGATTGCAGAGATTTCTGCTGACTTATAATGGCTTAGTTGAAACTTGAAAGCTGGTTGATTTTCAGATTATTTTCTGAAAAGTACCAACTTGGTCAAAGAGGTCATCATTTATATAATTATATTGCTTGCATACATGTGAAACTTTCAATTCAATTGTAAGAAGTCTATTGGAAATGGGGGAAAACAAAAACCCAGTTTCTTGTAACTACAGAGAAATTCTTATGTGGATCTCTCTGTTTTGTACCAGAAAAATATATGATGGTTTGATTATTTTCACTTTCAGTGGTTCAGCTCAGATGATCAGAGGCTAGCTACTTCTCCTGGAAAATAGAATAACTAGGAGCTATTAATTATATATCAGCTGGCTTGAAATTCCATGCTGTGATTCTTCAATTATTATACATATATATTCTCACTCACATCTATTCATTCAAAGGTCATAGATTCACAGGCCTACTGGCTTGGTATGTTGTAAGTTGCATACAAATTGATGCCTGATAAGATCATGCAGCAGACTAACTTATTCAACTCAAATTGTGAATAACTAGCTTCAGACCCAAACACACAGCCCCACTCTCTCTCTCTCTCTCTCTCTCTCTCTCTCTCTCTCCACGGGAATTTTTGGGTGAGAAAGAAACAAAATCCAATGATTCAAGTAGTCTCTCAGACTTATAAAAGAAGCTTGCAAATCACAGATTCATTGGATTATACCTAGAGATTTGTGCATGCTGCGAATATAACAAAACCAAGATATATAAAGATTCTTTTATCAGTTTTTCTTAAGAACAAAGGTTGTGAAATGAATTTCAATCGATGATATGAAAAGAGACTCTACATGGTAGGTTGATCTGCAACGAACAATAGATGTGGGCATCATCAGCACGTGCTAAAAGACTCTCTGCAATCTTTGTCTTCTTATTAGACCAATGTGTGTCACATTGGTTTTGTTCCTGTGTCACAGTGGGTGTGAACACAATAGCTACCATAGAATTTATGTGCATTGCCTTCATCTTCAGGGTAGGCAACAAAATTAATATACCTTGAATTTTTTTGTAATTATTTGACCCAGAATCTTTAGTTTGAATGACTTTTTCATTCTGTTTCTGTCATACATGTGTTTGAGCAAAAGCAGATTGCTTGCTCTTTGTTTGAAGTGGTTTGGGGCAAAAGCAGAGTCTACAAAACTTGTGAACAGAAATCACCACCACTGTGCATGAGCAAGTTATTAAAAATCAATTATAAGATGTTAAAGCTCAATAAGATTAATCATAATGCATATTGTATACCTTGTTGTTATTATTGCATTGGGGAGTTTTTTTTCTTTTCCTTAATGATGAATGGATATCTTAACAATATCATGTTGGCCACATTAACTTTCTTGTCATTTGTTCATTATGAGAAAGCTTAGAAACTTGATGATGAGATGATGGGTTCCATCAGATTGTCAAACTGAATTATGAGCTTAGCCGACCTAACTTAATTAAGCTGCATATTAAGTTTAATTTCATGATCATCATGTGCCCAGGGGGCCAAGGTGAGAGAGAGAGATAGAGAGAGAGAGAGAGGCTGGAGCTGACAATGATGGGATCCATTCCATAATGATATGTAAGCGTTAGGGTAACAGACAAACAATGGTCGTCTGCTACAATTAGCTAGCTTTTTTTCTGTCCATATATATATATATAACATTATTTTCGTGTGCAATTAAAGTTGTATGATATATATTACGACATTATATGACAGCAGTAGATAGTGCCAAGCAAAAGCATTGCTTATGCCTGCAGATAATGAAATTAGATAGCCACCCACACACATTATATATCACTCCCTCCCAAGTCCCAGCACTAGCTTTTTATCTATATATGGTTTCACACCTATATATATATATATATATATATTTTTTTTTTTTATTTTATATATAAACCACCATGTATTAGTATGAGTATTTCATCCACAAAAAAACCACCACATTGAGTAGACTTCCAATTGAATCCCCAAGTAGCTTTTCCTCTTTTCCTCTCTCTGTCTCTCTCTCTCTATCTCTCTCTCTCAAGAGTCTTGCTTGCTTGCTTGGTTGTGCTTTACTAACAAGAACAAGAATGGAAGGTGGGAATGAGTATAAGAAAGGTCTTTGGACAGTGGAGGAGGACAGAATTCTAATGGATTATGTAAGGGTGCATGGAAAAGGGAAGTGGAATCGTGTTAATAAAGTCACAGGTACTTGGCAATTCAGCAGAATGCATGCTTTCTTCTTCTATTTCTTTTTCTGCAACTAAGTTGTGAATTATTGATGTGGTGTAGGATTGAAGAGGGGTGGCAAAAGCTGCAGGTTAAGGTGGATGAATTATCTGAGCCCAAGTGTGAAGAGAGGTGACTTCTCTGAGGAAGAAGATGACCTTATCATTCGACTCCATAACCTCCTTGGAAACAGGTTCCTCCATCTCCTTCTTCAAAATCAATATCTCCATATAAGATTCTCAGAAGATATTGATGGTCTTTTATTAATTCAATGTGAACAAGCTGCAATTTTTTTTATTTTTTATTTGGTTTCAACAAGATATGAATCTTAAAATCAATATCCTTAGCATAAAGCATTTAGTTCTACTTTTCTGCATGATTAACTTGCTTCTTCTGTCTTCTTTCCTGCCAAATTTTACCATGCCTGTTGAACTCTGGTATAACCATCCCTGTTAAATATTCTTTCTTTCTTGGCGTTTCATTGCTTTCAAGCCCCAACAACAAATACTGGGCAGCCAGTGACCACTCTAATTAAATTTCATGCATTATTGCTATGCTATAGTAGCTAGTACATGTACAAAGTTATTAATACTAGACAACTATAGTTGCATTAATTCCTATTGTACCCTTCTAGTTTTTACTGCTGACATTGATGTGTGCATTTACATATTAATTATCTACCATGCAATATTTAACCTACCAAAGAAAATAAAAAGAAAAAAGCTCTGCTGTAGCAGTCTTAGCTGATATATTATTGATCTCAATTTTGTTACATGTTCTTTCTTAATTAGGTGGTCTTTGATAGCTGGACGTGTTCCTGGGAGAACTGACAACCAAGTCAAGAACCATTGGAACACTCATTTGAGCAAGAAGCTCAGTGTGAATTCGAAGAAGGGAAAGGCGAAAGCCAAGACTTGTTTAGGCTCAAAACAAGTGAAGGGGAGCTTCTGTACGGCCTCAGAGTCAAACTCTGAGCAGCAGCCTCAACCCAATTCCAATTCCAATATTGGTGATCATGAAGCTGCATCTGCTGCTGGGTTTGATGATAAATTGATGATGATCAAAGACAACATTGGCTCTAAAAGTGGGGTTGGTTTTAATGGCATGTGGGAGGCGATGATGAACAACAATAATTATGACAGCTCCTTTTGGTTTTACAATGATGACCTTAATCTAAATAGCCCTTATTATTTATTGGACCCTAGTCTAGATGATCACCATTACCCTCTTCAATTTTGAATTTGTTTCTGATGGCTTGTAGACTTTTAACATTTTGTATATATTGTCTCTCTATCATCGCTGATTAATAACCTAATCTAATATTTTTGGTTAAATACTTCTTATCTGATATATACTTACCAATTGATATTATGCATTGTATTATGAATGCCTGCTTAATCATATAAACCTAATCAAGCCCAACTAATCCAGATGATGGAGGCAGTTGGGTTGATTTAAAGTAAGGGGTTAAATCAATTGAATCCATCACCGAGATCCAATCAAAATCTAATTCAGATCTTCAAGGTGCACAAACTTTGGCTCACATCAGGACAAGTAGACAAATATAAATGCTAGTCACTGAGGCAGGGTCCAGTAGTGTCCTCTGTTTTGTATAGTATCTTGCCTTGCCACACTTAGTGCTCACACTTTTGGTAGGTGGTCCTTCCTGCTTCTGGTTCTGGATAAAATGCATATTACATTAGCTTCCATCAGGACTCCAATTAAGGCAACATTTCTTTATTCATTTTCCTTTTCGTTTTTACAACTATGTATCTATCTCTTTCATCACATTGATATATTAGTTATGCGATTAGAAGCAGATATTATTGTATCCAACCCGTTACATTTAAAGGATTTCAAATTGGTACAGATAGTTTGATATTGGTTTATTTTCTTCTTTCCTATTTGATGTGACTCTGAATTTTTGTTCATTTACAAATTTGCTGGTGATCTTAGGAGAGCTAAGATGCAAATCTCGTCTGCTTCTTTAGGCCCCCTTGTCCTTGTGCATGTGCCAATAAATTATTGAACTTCAACACATGCTAGCTGTCTTTTTTCTCTGAGATTTTACAATCAACCCAATCAAGGTGGGAAGCAGAAAAGGGCAAGTAAAAGATAGGAAATCTGTGATGGCCTATTGGGACTTTTCGCTCTGTAATAACCAGGTAACAATGACCAATGAAGAATTGAGGACAGCAGAGGTCTTTTGATCTAGAGAGAGAAAGCCCATCAGAGAATGACATGTTTTGTCCCAAAAAACGAAAAAGGAAGAGCATGACATGTTTTATAGATACAGCATACAGGCATAAAATAAAGGCACCAGGCCTTGGCTCTTATTACCCAAAAAAGCAAAAGATGATAGGGGCAAATGGGCTTGCCTTTAAGTTTTTGACGTTGTCATGTTTTTTTTGTTTTTTGTTTGGTCTCAATTGTGCAATAGGGAAACCTCCCCCTCTTCTTAGAAAATAGCTTTTGGATGATTTTGAATTGCTTCCCCACACATGTAAATAATTGCTCCTTTTGAATTATGCAAAAGTGCTTTTCTTTGTCTACTTGAAAGTCACTTCCCTTTCAACAACAAAATCATTGGCATAAAGAAAGCTACGTCGTTGAGACGTGTTGTGCTTGTGTATACATTTCACTCTCAAAAAAAGTTTGTTTGGGAGAATATTGCTGAAGAGGGACAAAAAAGTCCCAATATTCTCCACTCTTCTCGATTAATTAGACATCTAGCATATGACTTGTGCATCTCTTAATTAACCAAAGGTCTGTGGGCTCAACGCAGACTCAGTACAGGACATGAACTGCAGAAGAAGAAGAAAAAAAAAAATCTACTGAAAAAAGCAGATGCACAAAAGCAGGAAAGAACTAGTGACCATTAGCCTTCACAACTCTATATCGTGGTCAAGTGGTCCATGCTAGAAATGATTAACAAATGCAGAGAGGCACCTGCCTGAAAGCCTGAAAGCTGCAAACGATATATGTAGAAGAGTGTTGTAGGATAGGCTTTGTATTCGAATCTATGTACGACCAATTAACTGAACCCCTACGTAGCCAAGTCACAACCAACACAGATGCATCATGAATGAAAGACTTTGCTAGCTAAAAGCATTCATCGTGATCTTATATCTTGTGCCCGTGTTTTAGTACTGCACAATCTTTAGAGACGGGAGTTGCGAATGAAAGCATTTTATTTATTCCAAGAGGGTGCAACTTTGATGCATATTTTCTGTCACATTTGGCTGTCTAAAATTTGTGGGAAAATTTCTCATGGGTGTAAACTTGTGTTATCTTGTTTGGTTGGTTCTTAATAGATATACAGTTCGTGGTGTCAGTTTTGAAAAGGAAATAATGGTTTCTGGTCGGATGTTCAGTGGTCTTACAATAAGAAATGCGCGCATGAACACATCATATGCCCCATGATGCAACAAGATGTCCATGTCAATCTTAAAGACATGCCCCACGATGCAACAAGTATTTTCTCTTTTTTCCATTTTTGAGAAGAAAAAATATATAAATGTATGTACTCTCCTCCTTTTTACAAAAATAATTGAGCATTATGAAAGCCAGCCTTCACCTCAAAAACCTATTGTCGGAAGAAGGAACCATTTTCAGAAAACGATCTGCACAAGTCATTGACTAAACGTGATCTTTTTCTGGAAAATTGGTAGACTTGGGAACCCTTTTCCAGCCAAACAATCGTTTAATTTGTACTTATTATATCGATTATTATGGCTAACTGTTGATCAGCGCATTAATCACCAAGATTTCATATTGTCCGTGAATGCCGTTTTGTTTTGTTTTTTTTCAGCAAAGTTTGCTCTCTCTTTTTTTTTTCTCTGATCTGTTGCCTTTCGCACAAGATATTTGAAGAAGAAAAATAACCTATATGGCCCACTATCAACTACAACACATCAGGGAAACATTATTTTCTTAAGTTTATTTGTATTCTCTATCATGAACAAAACAGTACATTAACCTAATTCTATTGCTCTTGAAGTCCTCGTACGAATCTTCCGACTTCTTCACCACCGCGAAGCTCTCCCTCACCTTCCCCTCCACAATGCATGGTATCAGCCTCTGAAACAGCAACCGCCTCACCAACGCCCGCCATTTCAATCTCCTTCGACGATCTCCTCGACACACTGCGGTCCGGATGTGGCTTCTTGTTGTTTTCTTCTTCTTTTTTTTTCACTCGTCGTTTTTGGTTCGTTGTTCCAGTACTAATTAAGTTGGTTTTAAAAAATGTTTTCTTCATATTTTAATCAATTTTAAAATAAAAACAAGCGAAAATATGGGACTCATAATACCACGTAGGTAACTAATGGAGAAATATGACAAAAACTCGAACAGTGGAACCACATTGTAATAAATTGAACAGATCGGGGTATCTAATTGCAAAATCAAGAGGACAGGGACCAACATGCTTCACAAGTGCAACCACAATGTACTAAACTGTCATTAACCCTTATATTTTTTCACTTTGCATTTATTCGGTACATCCAATAAATTTTAACGAATTCAAACTACAAAGGTAAAGATATTTAAAAAAAATATATATATTATTAAATTTTAAGCTAAAAATTTTAGTTAGCCCACCCACCAAAAAATTCATGGCTCCACCCTTGGTCCTCTAGTGGAACCTCTCACTCCTCAGAACTTGTATTAAAACCTACACCATCTATTAGGGTGAGCATTTTAATGCCCATTAGGGTACCATGACACCCCAGAAGATCAATTATCATTGTTAATCAAAGTGAGCATCTATGGCCACTTTTGTCCATATATGTACTTTGCTATCGGTTGCACACTATCAAGTACATTGGGCTTTATATGTTTTACTGCTTTCCATATTGTGTTATTGCTAATTTTTGCCCTATATTCCTTGCTTTGCCCTATCTCTTGATATTGGCCCTTGTGGTGTGTAACCTGCAGGGACTTTTACTCCAAGATCAAGGCATAGCTCTAGGATGGGTTTGTGTGCTGAGTGTGGGAGAAAATGAGTTTTTGTCAAGGAAAGCCAAAGGGGAGATTGTTGTGTTCTCGATTTGCTAGTATTGGCTTTCCTTGCCAAAGTCGTATTGTTTCTAGTAATTTTCTAAATCCTATTCATGCTCAAATGTTTAGTGTAGATTTAGATAGGTTTAGACATAGTCATCTCAAGGATGATATAAGCTTAAACTCATAATCTCCAAAGGTAAAGCACGTATTTGCATGGCATTCATGTTTAATCATTGCAGTGTTTATTCTTAGATGACTAGTTCGTGCATTATATTCGGGAAAAAGTTCAACGTCGTGATCTTGTGGTTCAATACATTCCCACTGAAGAACATTGACATTTTAACTAAAGGTCTTCAGAGTGCTGTGTTTATTCTTCAATGCACCAATCTCAGACTTGGTCCAGTTCTAGCTGGGACTGCTGAGATTGAGGGGAGATGATTGGCAAAAGTCCAGATGTTATGCTGATGTGTGTGATTGTTAGTGTTCACGTGGGTCTGTTAGAGTTAGTTATGCAATGGCTTAAGCGTTAAGTAAATCCGTAATTCACAGTTTTCTCATAGCTCTTCCTGTTTATCTCATCTGATACAGTTATCTTCTATCTCCATCGCTTTCGTGTTCTTCTCTAGTTCTTCTACATTCTTCGTTTTTTGATTCTGTCTTCTCTCAAGAACAGTAGCTTTCTTCAAGCTTCTCCATTTCTGTCTTCTCCCATGTCTCCATACATCATCTCTCCTCTCAATGCAAAGAGCATATTGCCTTCTAAATTATTTGATACATTAGATTATTCACCCTATCAATGGTGTGATTTAAATCAAGTTGTTTATTGAAATTCAATTGTGCTTACCACAAAGTAAAATTTCCACCGCACTTTATGGATATGTTTAACTTCCCACTCAAAATACTTGCTCCTCGTTGGCTTGTCAATATTCTTGCTGCATATGCTTAATGTTTCTTGGCAAATTTGAATAAAATTCCTATTTCTTGGCAAAACCATGAGCTCTAATAAGAAACAATTGTGGTAACATGACGATCATTCATGAAGGGATTTTATTATTTTCTTTTTGGATACAAAAAGAATGGAAAAGAGAAGACGAGATTTGTCACTATTCTCCTCTCACATGTTGCCAACAAAATTTATAATCACAAAATAATTATTAAAAGTAGATAATGATAAAAGTCCATACAAGTTTGTCACTTAACTTTATAAACTCTATTGAAGTCATTAAAAATCTATAACCCTACGAAAGTCACTCACTTCGCTTAAAAACAAAAGAGAAGATGAGTTGTTCTTCTTTGTTATTGAGAGAAGAGACAGAAAATGGGTAAAGGAGATTGACGTTTGATTTTAGGGTAAAGAGGTAGTTCAGTTTCCATTCCAAAAACTGTTAAAAAGCAAAAATCATATTTTTGATCCTTTTTTTTCATTGGATCATTATAAGGGCCTTGTTGTTTAGATCTGCACCAATTGAGCTCGAACCCAATACTAAAAATTCAAATAGAATTCAAAATTCTTAATTTATCCTTAAACGTGCTAGTAAACCAAAAGTTAAAGAACAATGATACTAATCTAGGAAAAAAAAGAACAATAATATGAAAAAGAAGAAGTCGTTGATTTGTGTTTGTTCTTCATGCTAAAACCCTACCTGCTCACTTTTGCATTCACATATGAAAAAGAAGAAGAAAAAAAAAGGATTTGTATTTTTCTATTTTCAAAACCAAAAACCAGCTTTCGCGAAAGTAGAAGCCAGAATTTAACCCATCTGAAAACACCACCACCCTAAATAATTCATGTCGCCAATTGAAGATAAACAAGAAAGAAAACAAATATTCTAATCCCTCTCCTTTTTTTTTCTTTTTTTTTAAAAAAAATACAAGATATAGTAATTACTCTAATCCAGTCTGCGAAGCCCAAGCAACCTTAACTAGAGTTGCATAGCTGGGCCAATAGCTTTAGGCCCATTAATCCAATGGGTTCCAAAATGAACTAATGGAATTGGCCCATGTCCCTGAAGCACCGCAGCCGATAGCACCACATTATCTGCTGCAGCACTCTTTTGGCGTCATTCAAGTTCCAGACTTCCTCTTCGAAACACTAATAATAGCGACGCTGCTTTGGGATGAGCAAAAGCCCACCTTCTTAGCTTTAGGCTGACCTCATTATTTTCAGCATCTCCTGTAAGTACTTTCATCATCAATATTACAATCAGAAATGGTTAATGAAAGCTTTCGTTCAGTTTTTTTTCTTGTTTGTTTTTCCCTTCCCTCGCTGATTCTCCCTTTTTATTTAACTGTCTCTTCCAATTTTCTCTTTGCTGAGTGATTCAGCTAGAGGAGGAAGAGGTCAGTATGGCCACCACTCAATCCTCAGCTCCCAGTCCTGCGGACGACAAGCCACAAAACCCGGGTACAATTTCTCTCTTTTTCTCAAATTTTCTTCTTTGAATTGTTGTTTCTTTATACAGTACTGCTCCTATAGTTGACGAGGAAGTTCAGGAATTTATGTTCAATACATAACTACTATTTGGTTACCGAATGATTTGCTTGGAGTAGCTTAGTTCCTGGTGCAATTAATTAAATAAAACCAGAAGATTTGTTTGTATGATTACTGTTTAACGAGTTAAATAAATTAATGGGTTATGATAAAAACATAGTTCTTGTAAATTAGCTGCAGTCTAGCTTTTGTAAGAATAAAAGAAAGCTATGAATCTTAGCTATGTATATCTAAGCTGTATGTTTAAGATGGTATCCTGATTTTTAACTTGTGCAACAGGGCTTGCTCAACCTACAATTGAGGGTCAGCAAGATGCTGGGGCTGAGCCCCCTAAACAAACTTCTACACCATCTGTCTTTGTGAACTCTGAACCAATGAGAGAGGAACAAGTACAAAATGCGATGAAATTCCTTTCACACCCGAAAGTTAGGGGATCTCCAGTCATGTACAGACGGTCTTTTCTTGAGAAGAAGGGCCTCACAAAGGAAGAGATTGATGAAGCATTTCGACGTGTGCCTGTAAGTGAATTGTTGATTGCAATTCAAGCAAATTGTCAATCATCAATCTTTTTCATGTTTCACATTGTTTGTTTGCAAATTGCAGGACCCATCTTCAAGTGCGCAGGCAACTGCAAATCAAGGTAATAAAAAACTGGTATTAAAGTGGGTTTTGGCTTAAAGTTTGTGCATTGTTTGTATAAGTGATAGTTGTATATGCTTTCTTATGTCAGATGGACAAGTAAAGACATCATCAAATGTTCAGGCACAAAGTGCCACTCAAACTCTGCAGCCTGCAGCTGCTGCTCCAACTAACGCCATTTCCTCTGTGCGTACCTTAACTGGGTATAGATTCCACTGGTCTCATGCCATTGTTGCTGTAGGATTACTGGCAGTTTCTGGTGCTGGAACAGCTATATTACTTAAGGTAAACTACTCAACTTTTCTACAATCAAGACATATTAATTGTTATCCTCATGTTCTGATGCTAGCCCTATGAGTTATATTGCTTTATATGCTTCTTTTCCCAGTTTCACATGGTGACTGAGTAATTGTACCCTTTAGACTTTGATCACTCAATAGTTATTAGCTTGGTGGCTTCTGATAACATGTTCCCTGTTTTAGAAATCTATTATCCCTAGGTTGAAGGCTTGGGTACGCAAGGTTGTATTGGAAGATGAAAACGACATTGAGAAGAAAACCGACCTGAAACCAAGTTTGGCAGAAGAAGCTGCGGCAGCTGCTAAAGCTGCTGCAGCTGCAGCAGCAGATGTGGCAAAAGCAAGCCAGGAGATGCTGAACTCTAAGACCGAAGGTGAGGCTATGGTACTTTATAGCTACCGTGTTAACCTATTTCTGTCGTCATTCACTTTATTTAGTGATCTTATTATTGTCTTCTTTTTTACTTATACTGATACATATTACTGTTGTCATGATTTCAAACCATTGTTTATACTTGGGCCAGAGAGGAGATACTTTGTGGAACTCATGAGTTTGTTAGATGTTCAAGTGCAAGAAATGAAGTCAATGAATAATTCCATTCGGAAATTGGAAGGTACTGGAAATATTATATGTGATCAAGCTAGTGCTTGTGATTGATTGTTCTGCCTAAAATACAGTTACATCTTCATTTGTTTGCAATCAGGAAAAAGACTGGTTTTTGTTTGTAACTGGACTCCAATGATTATTTTGATTGATATTCTATCTTTCTGCCTAATGATCAGGAGAAACAAAGGCCTCAAGAACCTCTCTTGTTGATCATGAGGATAATCGCTACAATACCACAAATTCAAAGGTCAGCTGAAGACAGGCATAAATTTGGAATTCTTGTTGATATTTAAAAGGTGTAGATAATATCATATCTGCATTTATTCAAAAGATAGCTTTTTTACTATTGATCTGTTTTACAGCAACAATATGCGAATGGCAAGGCAGAGTATGACGTGCGATCAGGTTATTATTCTCTAATTGCCAACTTTCTATTGTCTAATCTTTATAATGTTTATTGATTTCTGCTTTGTGTTATTACAATTTTCTGTACAGTGCAATCTTCCTCAGCTCCTCCGTCTGTGGAACCATCAGCTGTGCCTCACCCAAAGTCTTATATGGATGTAAGTCATTTTTATGGTCTTTTCATAAGTACTGTTTAGTACATGGGTCTATCATTGAGAGCTTCTCTTTTATCATAATAAACCAATCTAATGGTTCAAGGAATGTAGTCTTTCTTTTTATGTGCAAATTAAATATTTTGGTATAAAATACTCTGTTAGCTCACAACTCTCGCGTATAGACTGTCATCCAGTGGCAGTCAGTCAGTGGATGCAAAGATCTGATTTATAGGGATTTCTCAGGGCATGTTATCATTTTAGTTGTATGTAAAATTCTTTTCATTCACCCTTTTTTTTGCATTGTACTTGGAGCTTGAAGAGTTCTTATATAATGTGCTCTAACCTTCCAGTTGGACCAATTTGTTATTAAGAGATATCTAAGGTTAGAATGGATGAATCATAAAAGATTCAGGAGGTCCAACAGATTATAAGCTGACTAGGTTGAAAATAATCTTTTATGTGGTTTTAATTTTATCTAACCAGTTGGTGAACTGGAATATTATAATATGTGTCTTATAATTGCTTTTCATTTGAACTGCAATTTGAGTTTGCGGATTATCCATGCAATAGTTTTAACTCTTTCATTGTTGTTATGTGTGGTCAGGTTTAAGGCTTCGGAAATTTAACACTCATGTGCATTGTTAATTTTATGCCTGCCTATTTAATTTTTATCATAATATTGCAGATCATGGCCATGGTTCAAAGAGGGGAGAAACCTCCTAATGTCAAAGTAAACTCTTTGTAGATTTTCCAATTGAAGTCAGCTTTTTTCTTCTTTATTTTTTCATCACTTAAATGTTAACCCTTTGTCATTCTGGATGCATACGCAGGACATTGATGATTTACCCCCCAACCCTAATCAGCAACTATCAAATCCTCGCTTGGCACCTAGAGCTAAGGTATTGCTTTTGAGAGCTTTTCACCTTTTCATATAAACACACACCACCACTCCCGTGGCCCGCCCCCTCTTTTCCTTCTTTGATTCACTCCAAATTAGTACACATGGTTGGATCATATAAAAAATAATTAGATTATAGATTGCTGCATGTCTTTCACAATCTGTATTTTTTACAAACAAAAAGTGGCTTGTTTTTAAAAAATTATCTTCGAATTTACAAGAATTAGTTGTATGCTTTATGAAATTATGGAAATATATTTTTACAAATTCATGAACTTCAATGAAAATTTTGACCAAAAAAATTCAATTTTCTTGCTTTGATACCAAATGGAGATGATTGTTACTTTTTGTTTTCTTGGGTAGCCTTGGGAGGTTGGTCAGGCCCAAAACAACTCGAGCCAAGTATTTCAGTCTCAAGTAAGTAGTGAAGGCTTGAATTCCAGCATTCAGGACAGTGGGCTCGATTATCAGTCAAACGGTGATGGTACAGTGCCTTGGTGGCAGCGGAAAAATGCTAGAATCACTGAGATAGAAAATGAAGTCAATGCAGGGTCTTTTGGTGCACGAACTAGTGAGCTTCCAGTTCAGCCAGTTCAGCGTACATGGGTTCCTCCCCAGCCACCCCCGGTTGCAATGGCAGCAGCAGCTGAAGCTATCCGACGGCCAAAACCACCAGTGCAGAAAGAACAGCTGGGTAACGATCTGCCTGTTGCACATCCATCAGATGTGAGTGATGAGTTGCAGAGGATAACAAAAATATCTGAATCTGGAGGTGCATTGGAGCTAAGTAACGGAAGCCCACCGTTGGGATCTCCTGAAATACAAGAGGAATACAGCTTGTGAGAAATCTGGAGTTCATTGCATTTAAAAGCTTGTTCTAAGGTGCTACCCGTTTATGTACGCCTGTTATACAAGGATGGGAGAGATTAAATCAACGCAAGATGTTTTTTTACATATAAAATAATAAGTTGTTCAAAGGCTTGCTTCTTTACATATAAAATAATAAGTTGTCCAATGGTGAAAAGTTGAAGTGGACTTTGTAGAGTTGGACACTTTTGGCTGACCCTTCTCCCTCTTGCATGAGAAGCGCACTTGTGCGCCTTATCAAAGGGTCTATTTCAGGCCTTAGTGGTGCTACTGTTTCCGATAAATATGTTTGGTGCTACTGTTTCCGATGAATATGTTTATTGATTTTTCTCTTCATGCTTTTTGGGTGGGACTAGCTTTTCATATTAAATAGCTGTGGTTTAAACTTTCTGTGCCATTCAAACAACAAATTAGTTTGGTACAAATTTCAATCGCGTGCGCTTGAAATAGCACTACACGAAATTTGGTAACCTTTATTCAAACCCTATCCACACAAACAATAAGATTATAGCTCAGGTGGTTATATTAAATATGTCTGCATTCGAGACTCTTTGTTCGAATTCCTTCTCTCACAATATTATATATAAATAAAATAAAATAAACCCTATCCACATTGCAACAATGACAAACACTTAATCAGTTGATCGTCTTATGTAATTTGCATTGGTAGTTGCTATTTGGATCTTCTATCTCAATTGAAGCTTCCCTTTTCTCCCCAGTCTGAATATTTATAACCATGTTTGTCTTTAGGACAAATAAAATGATTATTATAAAAAATATAAGGGTGGGTCCTCAATTGGTAGGATTCAGGAAGCACTTTCTGTTTGACTTCTGGTGACGAAGGATCTAATGCATTAGATACCTTAAGTCAAGCTAAGCAGAAAATGAAAGAAAAAAAAATTGGGGTCAAATCAGCATATGTGCACCCCTTTGGACTGGCCCTACTTCAAAGATGAGAACTTGCAATGTCACGGGGCTGTTTTGCTATCCTCATCTAACCATTTAATTATGTTTCGTCATATGGAATTCTGATCACGTATGGCTGAACTTAATTAATTAGAAATAGTAAAACAAAAATATCCTGCGACAAGCAAATTTTCCTCCTCCTTCAAATCTATATTCCATCCTTCTCAATCCAAAAATTATAATTTTGTTTTTTCAACCGGAGGCATAAATTGTTAACATCTTCCAAGTTTTGCACATGATTTGTCTGACCCCAGAACCAATAATGTTTTGGTATATCTTCCCTTGAGCAAACAGAGGATCATCATGTAGGGATAGAATGACAAAATCAGAAATAGATGAAAGTAGGGCAAGTGCTTGAAAATATTTATATGCTAATTCATATACTTTGCACTTGTACAATCATTGGTACTCCGAAAATAAAAATACCAAAATTGTTTGTATTTATAATAATTCTGAAATCAGAAACACCCAACAACAATGCCATATAATTCCAAACTTACCATAATGGCAAACCTAAAAACAGAAACATTTTATAAGCTTTCTTTTTTAGGTACAACACAATTCATGCAAATACAAGGCATCAATTCCTTTTTGAAAGGAAATTTTTGGATGGATTATGAGGGAATATCATCAAATGGTATAAACAGCATACTCTCCCAAGTCACTGTCCTATTTCATTTAAAACGCTGAGCTTTGAAACGGTGTCGTATGAGCCTTGGATAGAAGTAAATCTGACCCGAAAGCATCAAATTTTCCCACGAAAAAAGTAGATTAAATTACAGTCCAGCAGAAGAAGTTGATTCCGTTCTCAGCTTCTCGTCCTGTCCTACAGTTTCGTCCTCATTCTCTCCGTCCGCACCTCACTTCCCACGTTTGATTATTTATGCCAAAAATGTTAAAAACAAAATAATTTAAAAGGAAAGAAGAAGCCCAATTAACTATTACCAGAAACCCATCATTATTTTACTATAAAGCTTTGCAATTTTCACGACCACAGAAAAATTGGCTCAAAGGGTTCTCGTGGTTTTCTTCATTTGTTTGAAATTTATCTTCTTCTCTCTCAAAGTTTATTGCTTTTTGTTGATTTGAATAAAAAAGCTGAGTTGGGATGGCTCTCAATTTATTGTCTCCAGCTGAAATCAAAGCCATCTCTTTCTTGGATTCCACCAAGTCCACCCACCTCCCCAAGCTTCCAGGTTCCAGTTACTGTCTTCTCTTGCTTTCAATTTTCTGTTTGGTTCCTGAGACAACGCAGGAAAACTGACAAAATGGAGACTTTTCCCTTTTTTAGCTTTCCAAAGTGCATGCTGACATTACGGTTCAAATTGGTCACCGTGATTCTATGGTTTCTGTGTTTGTAAAATGATGAGGTCCATGTGCTTTATTGTATAACTGAAAGTTCATTATAAACATGAAGTGCCTATATGTGCTTTTGTCTTAAATTTTACTTGTATGCAGCTCTGAATTTTAATGATAGACTTGTTGATATAATTTTATGGTTATGTAAATTTACAGTCTTGGTAATCTTAATAAAATTTTGTTCTTAAACGTAGGTGGGTTTGCTTTGAGGAGGAAAGATTGCAAAACAGTAGTTGGGAGAAGAATTCAATGCTCAGCAGCAGCACAGACACCTCCTCCAGCTTGGCCGGGACGTGCCGTTCTGGAGACAAGCCGCAGAACTTGGGATGGCCCAAAGCCTATCTCGATTGTTGGATCTACTGGTTCCATTGGAACCCAGGTGTGGAAATATATATTTTTCTTTTAAATTGTTTATGGGAGATTAAAGATATAAATATAATTTTAAGACCTGTATGGAGTTCGTCTTGGAAAAGAGCAAACTAAATTGATAGAAGTTTTGAAGCTCAAATATAGAAATAACATGATTTGCTACCATACTGATGTGGGAGTGCATCTTACAGTATAACAGCCCATGAATCAGAAAGTTTGTTAGACACTAATTTTTATGTAAATCTGGAGATAATGGTCTTACAAAACTCAGAAATCTAGTTTTTATGGTTTTATTATCTCTTCCTTGTAGATAGATGGAACAGGGCCTGGAATTTTCCCTGCCTTGGCTCTCTCTCTGTGTCTCTAGTTTTTTTTTTTTTTTTAACTCTTTTCAGTGGGGAAAAAACTATTCTTTTTCTTAGTGAAACAAATTCTGGGCATCGTATCAGTTGCTTATAGTCAGAATCTGTTGTTTCTACAGACACTGGACATAGTGGCAGAGAACCCAGATAAATTCAGAATTGTAGCGCTAGCAGCAGGTTCAAATGTAACTCTTCTTGTGGATCAGGTAATCAATCCATCAGATAATATTTCCTAGTGCTTGGAAGGATTATTTATTCCAACTTACAAATAAACATTGGATTTTGAGTAGAAAAACCTGACTTGGCTCATTCCACCAACTCAACCTGATAATCATCCATTACAGCTACCAACCCTAGTGATCTGGGGTTTGTGATTGATATTTCTTACATACTTAACTTGGGGGTCCATTTTTTTGCTTTGGACAGGTGAAGAGATTCAAGCCCCAACTTGTTGCAGTTAGAAATGAATCATTAGTTAATGAGCTTAACGAGGCCTTGGCTGATTTAGAAGAAAAGCCTGAGATTATTCCTGGCGAGCAAGGAGTTATTGAGGTGGGCTAGCATCTAATTGCCCTCTGTTGATGAATTTTATTTTCCTCATCTAGAAGAAATTGCTCATGTTTTTCTCTTCTCAGGTTGCCCGCCACCCAGATGCAGTCACAGTAGTTACTGGAATAGTAGGTTGTGCTGGATTGAAGGTAATTGCTTTGTCATTGAAGTTATAAATGTCATATAAATTTTGAAATAAATAATATAGGAACTGGATGACAAGGGAAGGTTGATGGACAGCAGAGTTGGCTAATACCTTTTAATGAGTGATGATTCATAATGAAATTCAACGAAATATTTTCAGAAGAAAAAAGCAGTATTTGACTTATAAATTAACACAAATTAGCAGCCTGAATTTTCTCCTGTTATCTTCTTAATCATAGCCTACAGTGGCTGCAATTGAAGCAGGGAAAGACATAGCATTAGCCAATAAAGAGACCCTGATTGCTGGTGGTCCTTTTGTTCTTCCTCTTGCTCACAAGCG